GATATTTTATAAAATTAAGGAAGACAAATCCACTTATTCTTCCATCCACAAAATCAAAAAGATCATCGATAATTTGAGCACGATTAAGAACATGTATATTCGTGAAGTCCTCAGAATTTAAGTAATTTGAAATTTTTTCCCAATTCTTGATATCGTAATTTACACGATAGTATCCTATTGCATCATTCATTTTATATATGTATATATATATATATATATATATATGTATATACACATATATGTATATATACATTATTAGATCTTTTTAAATGAAATTATTGAGACATATTTTCAGATATTTATAATTGTCTTTTCTTAATATAACAAACACACGCACGCACGCACTCACGCGTGCACGCGCGCACGCACATACTCAATTAATATTTGGCTAAAGTTTCGGAGAACGTAATTATACAAATTTCTTTTAAGTTTTTATAGATAAAATAATAAGTATAAAGTTGAATGATTTAAAACTTTGCAGAAGGATGTAAAACTTGACAATAGAACAAATAAAATAAATCAAGCACCATTAATTAATTGAACCATATTTACCAATTTGTTGTATATTAACAATAATCCAATCATTTGGATCAATTTTAAAGGTTATATTTTGATTTGGTTGTAACCAATATCGGGGTGCAGTATCGGAGAAATTCGGATTGGACTGCGTGACAAATGTTATGGGTATCCACCACTCATTATTAGATTTCTGTCCGCAAACACATTTTTGAGATATTGTTATTTCACCAGTTGTGTAATTTTTCATCACGTTTACCACGGGATAACTGTTTTGATTTGTCCATGTATCCATTACTTCTTTTATTCTATAATATTCATGTGGGACATCAGATTCGTCTAAAGCAGTTTGCATGGCGGCCCACAAATCATCTGGAGTGGTTGATCCATATTCACTAAACAAAGAACGATTGTTAATATTATGGTCATCGGGAAATTTAAATTTATCATTGAAGAATCTACGTGAATATTAATGTATAATTTAATTGATAAAGATTATGTATGTAAAAATTTAGAATATATTTAACTCAAAATTAATTTAGTTAAATTATAATTATTAAAAAGTAAAGTGTGTATGGTCTATAATTGAATAATAATCCGATATCTCAAGTGTGTCTAATTTTATTTTTCTAATAAAATAGTACACTTTTCATCATGAATAGAAAAGATATTATTACATTTATGATACTTAGTACTGTGATTTATAATAAACATTTGTTACATACTGCGTGGCTAAATATATGATAAGACCCTTTCGAAATACCTCGTCGGTGATAATATTTTGTAACATACGCAATATAATTGACGCTACAATAGCGCAATCAAATATTAATGATACAGACATATAAAATTAAGTACATATAAAATTAAGATAGATACACAATGTAATACACTTATGCAATTATAAAAAAATATATAATAGAAAACAGAAACAAACAATTCATTTGTACAATATACAGGATGTTTCAAAATTTGCTCCATCGAAGTAAAAGACGTGATACTTTATGCTAAAACAAACTTCGCGGGCGTGAATTTTGCAACATCCTGTATATTGTGCAAAAGAAGAATTTGTTTGTTTCAGGTTTCTATTTTAAATTTTTCTTTGTACTGTGTACATTAAGAAATCTATAGATAATCTATGTAATAGATAATAGTTTAATTATATTTATAGAATCTTACCTTTATGATAAATTACAAAAGAAAACAAATCCAGTCTTTCAAACATATTATCGGGTTCCAATGTGATAGGACCTAATTCGCCTTTATCTACCCTTAAGCTGTAGTGTAATATGTCAATCACAAAATAATCTATTGTTCGCCAATCATCGAAAATCTGAAGACAAATTGATATGTGGAGTGAATGAATATAAAAAAATTCCGAATTTGAAATAAAAAATCAATTTGTTCGTCATTTCTAATTTTAAAACTTCGCAACTTTACTTTTTATGGCGCCTACATTTAATTAATTTTTCGAGTCGAATTCTTTAAAAAGAGGCATATCTAGTTAATTACTATTAAATATATTGGAGATTACTTAAAATTGTTCAATATTAAAATATAATTCTAAATTAAAGCACCGCTATCTTTTATTTAATTCTATATTATATATCTTAATACATTTGATGAAAACGTCTTATTTAATACTATCACATTTTAATCTTACATTAAAATGTAATTCAAAGTTTTTTTCAATAATAAGCAACTTTGCATTATGTTATATAATAATATTAAATAACCTTGTCTATGATGTATGTTTGGAAGAACGAAGCAAGTCCCTCTTTTAACCACTGGTATGACCACCAAGACGGTGTGACTAAATTACCAAACCATTGATGTGCAATTTCATGTGTTACTATCGCTGCTAATTCTTGTTTCCTATTGGTTGGATGTTGTTCAGCATCATAGATAACTGATGATTCTCTGAAAGACAGAACGTAATATAAAATTATAAAATGTTCCTTGCAATCTAATGTAATGTATTTTTGAATAATTATGTTATTTGCGAATAATTCAGATATGTGAATTTTTTGTATACATATATAATTTTTTTAATGTACAGTAAAAATATTTTCTTATGTATATAAGTATGTAAAAGAGAGAAACCTCTTATGGCTTGACCTTTAAAAAATGAAATTATCAAAATCGTGATCCCCTGAACAATATTCAATATGTTTGAGCTGTCAATTGAACATCTTTCATTATCCTAATGTCGGCAATTTTTTAAATCTCATTTTTTAAATCTTATATATGTAATTCATAAAATATTAATAAATAGTGCTCTTTTTATAGATTGTTTTGAAAAGCTCTTAAAGTAAACTACGAGAGTGCGAAAAATGGAGATTCTATATAAGAAAATATTGATCATATTGACTTGGCCTTGAATAGGCTCTTCCAATGTTCAATTTCTTCACTTTCAGATAAATTACGGATAATCTTATTCAGGAGGTATCTCCATTGTAATCTGGGAGATATATCTTGGATAAAGTTACCTAGAAGTGAAGAAATTGTTCATAAATCTATGTTTTCATCATCTGTTCCCTTAATATACTAAAACTTTTATTTTTCTAAAGCATTTTCCGAGATTCAGGGATTGGGTCACACTTTAGCATTATTTTGTATATACATACATATACGTAACTGAATTGAAAAAAAGTAGGAATTCGTAATGTATATATATATATATTAAACACATTAAATATTTTAGATAATCTAAACATGAAAATATGCATTTTTTTATATCTGTGAAATACAAACACATTCTAAATTATCGAATTTTGAATACTAAGAATAATATTTGCTTAATTTTAATAGTTTAATTAATTTTTTTTTTAATTATGTTCATTACTTATAAGTGATGAGTCCCCATTGTTCCATGCCATCAACCGGAAAATTTGGTATGATAAAGTGATCCATTTTCGGTATCTTTTCGGAATTATTGGTGTATTGGATCAAGAATGGCGTGACTATTTCAGTGATATTAAACATAAATGTTATTTGCGATGTCAAAGACGATCTGCACCACACATTGATGGTTTCTTTCTCGTTGGAAAGATGATGAAAATCAATCATGCGGAATACGATAATCTCTACAAGATAAGTGGACATTATTGGAGAAATGTTGAAGTACGTACAGGTCATATCATTTTCAAAAAATTCCCTTTGTACTAGAGGCATATTTGACAATGCCAGATATTTCACATGATGCATTATAGAAATGTTAAAGATGGCTTTTAACGCGGGTTCGTCCCAACACGGAAACATCCGTCTAGCTCCTTTCGGCTCCGAATACGATGCAACCAATCTACAATTTAATAAAATGTTTTAAGTAATGACAAATTTTCACTTACATTGGATGATATAAAAATTTTAAGAATACTCAGCATTTATATTGTTATATGATAATATTAGGTCGTTTAAAAAGTATCCGCGGTTTTTTGTTCAATTTCGAATGAAAAAACCGCGGATACTTTTTAAATAACCCATTATAATAATTTTTTTAAAAGAAAAATTGATACTATTTTTCATTTTGAATTAAAGCTACTAAATATTACATTATACATACAATATATGCATTCTAATATTAATTATTACTTAATATATACATTATAATTACATTTACATACTGAAAAATGTTTTTAAGTATATTTGCAAAAAATATGTTTTACAACATGTTATCGAGTATTTTTAATATTTTACAAAAGTTTATATAATACTTTTTAGTATTTTAACGTTTTATACTTACGTATTATTTTTTCCTTTATTTGTATATGGAAACATTATAAAACCACTTTCGGAAATATTATTCTCATTTATAATACCGGCAAATTTCATGTTAAGAATGTAAAAGCCGGGTGACAATGCATTTTTGAAATTGAGTGTCAAGATATCCGTTTTATTGTCATGGGAATGTTCTGTTGGTTTATAAACTGTACCGTTGACATTAATTAACGTTGTCGCCATTTCATTTAATTCTAATTCTTTTGAATGCAAGCTTATATTATTTAACGATGCATAACGAATCTCAATTTCTATATTGGATTCACCGTGAAAAGTAAAGTTCTCTTCTTCAAGATTCATTAACAGAGAAATGTTATAGAATAATGGTACTGTATTATTGGGTAAACGGATAATTTTTAAATTATCCGTTTTGTTGGTACAAAAAACGCTGTTTGTGATCAGTATTATATGTAAATTGACAAGTGTTGTGAGATTTAATAATAATTTTAGAAATCCCATGTTGATATCTGTTTTAAATGCCGTTAACTTAAAAATTTAACATAAAAGTGTTTTTCCTATTGCAATTTTTAATGAGAGCTGCAAGAAATGTAATAATTTTAGCTAATTGACCGAAAAAATGTTTTTTATATATAACTCATGTGGGGTTCTGTAGTAATTTTTTTGGTTTTGGCATTCTTTAAATTGTTTTTTTTTATGACGACATTTTTATTTTTTTAACAAGAGATAAATATCTATCGAATTATTATTTTTTTAAACTACTTACTTTATGTATTACACCCTTCTGCTGATTAAAATACTGTTGAATTCCAATAATTATACAATTGACTAGTATAATATAATCTCGCAATGAGCTGTTAATATATTATCAAGAATATATTATCATAATTGTGAATACCGTTTTATCATCTCGAAAGATCCTCAAATACTGAGTTTACAATTTCAATATCACTGATGCTATAACAATATGTTATGTAAATGCATGTATTTGGAAGGTCGTGTCAATATACCATAAAAGATGTCCACATTTTAAACTGTGATTTTATGTTTTCAATAACGAATAGTGCGACTTATATCGATAATTGGACTGGACATTAAATCTTAATCGAGCAGAAAGCATTAGCTAGTCGAGCAATTTGGATCACAAAGGCCTCGTTAATCTTCCGGCAAAATTTTAAATAAAGAGCAAATTTCAATATTAGAAAACAATAATAAAACTTATGCTTGTCAAATAGATTCCAGCTTTTCAGTAAGAGATACAATATGACGCAATGATCGTTTCGTTTTTGTTTAATATTGGCAAACAGGAAAGTAAAGGATTTGTTATGTTACACTTTATCGAATTTGTTTTCCTTTTAGGAAATATAGAATTCCTTTGAGGAAACGCGATTAGCGCTATTTATTCTATTTCATCTTCATCATTTATTAAACATAAATAAGGATGGAAGGATAAATAATGCTAATAGCATTTTTTTCGAGCATACCACAATCAAGTGTCATCCTAGTTTTATTATTTATTGAATACCGTATGATAAGACGATATATGTCGACTGTATTTTCTGAAGATAAAGTAGTTATGGATCTAGATAAAATGATTGTTCGTGAATTCATTATTCGCACTACATTGGATTAGTACACATTAAAGTATTTTTATATAAAATATTTAAATATAATGACATAAAATAATCAACTTCGACAATAAATTTATTAATATAGTTTCCAGACTATTAATAAATTATTAAATTTCAACAATAATATTAAGAAATATTAGAAATAATTAGAATTAGATAAAAATTCACAATATGCAGTAATATGAATAAAAAAATTTTTAGAAGAATTATACAAATAATTGTATGTATTACATTTCTTTTGTATTGAATCAACGATCGATCTCTCAAAGTCAATACTTTTCTAATAAAATCCTTTTCTGAAATAGTCTAAGGTTTCCCTAAGTTCGTTTTCGCATTCTTCTATCAGTTCTTTAATTGCAATCTTAGTTTCCGGATCATCATCACGATTAACTGAGTCTGAGAAACTTTTTATCTGAAACATATTAAAAACAGTTAAAAATGTTTAATAACAAATGATTTCTTTTTATATGCTAATTCGATAAAGTATAATTTTCTAATTTCATTTTTATACACTATATTATTTTTAATATAACATAATATTATAAGATAAGTATACATGTATAAAATGCATAAGTATATAATACATATATTTAACTTCTTAATGGAGTAGTATAATCTATATAATGAGAAATAAATAGTGTCTCGAAATTTGTCAATCAAAATACACAGTAAGAACGTTTTTAAGAAATTAAGTAAAGAAATTTATACATTTTTATTTTAATCAATAAAGTTTGTAAAATAATAAGGGTTTAAATATAGTCAATTACGGACTTTGTTTAAAATGTTTAAATTCTGAAATGCGCGCTTATTAATACTACTGCACGCGCAATTCATGTGACTGTCTAATGTAATCTGTAATAATTGGCTATACTTAAGCCTTTATGTTTCAAAAACTACTGCTTGAAATAAAAATATATATATATAGTTTTTCTTACTTAATTTTTCAAAAATTTTCTTGCTATAATATTTTGATTTGTGAATTTTGAGATACTATACATATGAGAATCTATACATATAAATATTCACAAAAACTGACTGAATCATTCATCCACAATAACAGGACGTTGAAATTTTTCTAAATTTTTATTAGTTATCATCGGTTATATAAATCATCGGTTTAATATTAATTCATGAATTACAATAAATTCAGTTTATATTTTAAAATACGCACCGCTACTCAATTTTCCACAAAAATACAAAAATACAATTTAAAAATGCAAACATAATTAATTATTAACAATATTATTAATTCAGTTGTGTAAAGTTGCGTTAATTTAATTTTCTCCACAATGAATGATTTTTATTTGAAACATGCCACAATTAAAGCGTTATTAATAGTCAATAATTCAATAAGATACGTGAATATATAATATAAAACTACTTGTAATTATAAAACATACCTTATTAATTTGTTGTTAGAAAACATTTTTGTAAGAGTAAGTCTTATTATTACAGTCGTAATAAGTAATCCATAAAAACAAAATTATATATTCATGATTGATAAATCTTTATGATTGAGAAAATAGCATATATTTACAAAGAGAAATGTTATTATATTTTTCATTAAAAAAAAACAGATGCAGTTTAAAATTATTGTAAGATGTATTGTATGTCCTACGTACAGTCACCGTAATCATACAAGATCGTGACGTAAGTGAGAAACATTAAAATATACATTTTGCCATTTGTTAATAAAGAGAATTTAGATAAAATAAAATAATGAAATTGCTTTTTAAAACACTTGTTACATAGTCAGAGGCTATATCTTTAACCCCCTCCTCCCCCCCTCCCCGACAGCCAGTAAATAGTCGTAAAAAGCACGTGAAGAAGTGAAAATAAATTAGATATGAGTTTGAGTAAACGGTGGTAAACGTAACGTCACGTGCTTTTTACGACTATTTACTGACTGTCAAGAAGGATAAGCATAGCTTCGGCCCATTTTTACAAGAGTTTTAAAGCGATCATTATTTTATTCAAATTCTTTTTAATTACAAATGACAAAAAACATTAACGTCATTTCTCGCTTACGATGTCATGATCCTATATAGCCGAGGCGATTATAATTTAGAAATCTTTATATTAATTTTCATACGGTAATGGAAAGACTGAAACAGAATAATTTTAGCAACTTTTGTTAAAAGATATTTGTATATAATTCTTTTAACAAAAATTGCTAAAATTATTCTCTTTTATGTCCACCATAGATTAACTTTAATCTCGGTTCAACTTACTCTTCTTCTTTTTCTAGTCTTTAGAACTAGAAAAAGACGAAGAGTAAGTTAAATCGAGATTAAAGTCAATTTATACTATACATTGGTAAAAACGGGCATTAGTTTTTTTTTTATTGCCATATGAAATATCGTGTGTGTGTGTGTGTGTGTGTGTGTGTGTGTGCGCGCGCGCGCGCGCGTGTGTGCGTTCGTGTGTGTGTGTATGTGTGTATGAAATAAATGTATATCTGCGTGTGTGTGTGCGCACGCTCGCGCGATGATCCAGCGGTAGATGAAATTGTAGAATTATATAATCATATATTTTTACTATTATAATTGTTACTTTTATAATATTTTCAGTATGCATGCGCATACACACACATACATAAGTGCAAACTCATGTAAACAAATGAATAAACGAAAATCTCAATAAAAGATCAAATGTCTCTAACTAAAAATAATGATGTTTCGCCCAATGAGATTTTTAATGAGAGATGCAAGAACTGTATATATCATATGTTGACGCAAATTAATTGAAAGCGTTTTCTTCATAAATCATCCGTTAGTCGTATTTTATTTTTATTCTTTAAATACGTTTTATATAGGTATACTTTTACATTAACAAGAAATAAATATTTATTAAATTATTTTTTTTAACAATTTACTTTATAAATTATACCTATGTACTGATTAAAATACGGTTGATTTGCAGTAATTACAGTTAATTAATTACAGTTATCGTAATGAGCCGTTAATATTAGGAATTATATATCAACATAATTGCCGTTTTGTCATCTCGAAAAATCCCTAGATACTGACTCTGCAATGTCAATATCTCTAATGCCATAACAAATATGTCATGTAAATATGTTATGTAATCGTGTCAATATAAAAGGTGTTCACTGTTTTTGAACTTTTTATTCTCTGTAACAAATATTGTAATTTATAGCGTCAATTGAACTGAACATCGATCTAATTCTCAGGTCAATGAACATTAATTTAATTCTTCGCTCTTCAAGGGTTTCTGGTCCTCTTAATGAAAGAAGAACCGCACCCAAGACAAACATTCTTGTAATTGCTTGCATCGTCCCGACACCTATTGTACACACCTTCTCGTTATTAACTCTTGTTATAACTTTACGATATATTTAAGGATGAATAACGTTATCTGTAACAAGAATTCAAAGAACTTCAGAAATAACATTCTTTCTAAAATGTGAAAATAATTGAGCCAATTTTGAAAAATAAGTGGCTCAATTTTTAATTTTTAAGAGTGAGATTTTACTCTCCAAAGTGAGCTCCACTCTAAAAGTAACTCTAAAAGAACGTATTTTAATCACAGATACACACACACACACACACACACACACACACACACACAAAC